TCCTACTGCTTCTTCACTTCATTTCTTAATGTCGATAAATTTGCAATCGCATTGCTCTAATCCCATTTGACGTTTCATTTGGCAGGTGAAACGCTGCCGTGGCTTAGCCTCTACTACAATTAGGCATTGCCTCGAGCAGAACAGGTAGTCAAAACTCTAGTTTTCGCTGGCAATTTGATGGGGAATAAGCCAATGGCAGCTTGAATATGATTTGGAGCAGAACTAATCGCAGTAATATACAAGGCTAACAGCCTGACAGCAGAGATCCTATCCACTTAGGACTTGACCTACTCTAGAGCTAATAGAATTTCCTAAATTTCTCAAATTGGATTCTGTTTACCGATTCGAATCGGTATCAAAATATATAGATTTACATTCGATATACATATATATATATATGTATATATATATATAGTCGAGTCTGGTTCAATGACATTCCATGGAATTTGTTCCGGTGTCTGTGTGTGGAAAAGGTTCGACAGTGAAATGCCCAAAAGTCTATTATGTCGACAACTGGCTACAAATTGTTCAACTTAATTAAAGAAACGCTGTTAAGCTTTGCCATTGAGCGCGACCACGCCCACATCAGTCACATATGCAGCATTCGATGGGCGGGAGGAGGAGACGGGGAAGAGGGAGAGGCGAAACGAAATCGGAGCCAGAATTCGAAACGGAATCACATTCACAATCGCCGGGCGAAAAGAGAGACGGAGACGGGGACGGGGACGGGCGGAGCCAACTAACGTCCGCGATGGAGGCCAAAGCAAAGAGCTTTTTGCATTATAACACAATTCAATGGAATGACTCCAGTGACGAGAAGGACGCGTACAAGGATAAACGCTCCATGCGTTGCCCACGTCTGCGGCTGCACTTCATCGCTTTTGCCAAAAGGGGCAATTTCCGTGCTGAAAACCGTTCGCGACAACAGCAGCCAAAAATGAGTAACAAAACAAGTGAGAAAGCACCGTCCCGTCGCTGGGCATGTCCGACTAGCAGCTACCCTGTCAACACCAAGAGAGAGCTGAGAGAATTTAGCAAGCGGAGCTAACGAAAATTGACTCGAAAAAAAGCTAAACAAAAGTTGTTCAAGAAGATTATTTTTCTACTACTTTTACTACTCTTTTATTACTCTCAACTGCCATATTTAGTAGTCCAGTTATTGAGTCGAATCTAGAAGACCTTTTAGTACTTTCTATTTCAGACAATTGTCCATTCTATTTTTGTACTTATTTCTACTACTAAATCAAAAGTCTTACTCTATAGAGCTTAACTGATATAAAGTGAGCAGATTACGTACTACTATATCCTACTACCTTGTATAGCAATCTTATTCTATGTACCTAGAAGGAGATAAAATCAGAGAAAACAAATTCCCTATTCCTTTTATCACTTTCTACTACTTTTTGTCGTTATCAAGTTCGATAAAATGAAATCAACTCAAGCAGATTCAGTATGTACTACTTTTTATTACTTCCTACTACCTTATGAGTAAGTCAACCTCTAGATAGAATGAGAAATAATTCCTTATACTTACTCTTTTATAAAATTTTTTGTCATTATCTTTCGATGTAGACATAATGAGAAAAAGTCTATTAAACTACTAATTTTTCAGTACTTTCTACTACCTTTTGCCGTAGACTAATTCTATATAGCTGAAAAAAAGATATAGCAAGTTCTTAAAGAACTTCAACTACTTTTTCCTACTTTTTACATCCTGAAGTATCCCAGTTCAACATCAATGCAAAGCATATTCTACTACTTTCTACTACTTTTTGTATATTTAGTTAGCGTATCTCTACACCAATAGCTTGCCAGCTAACGGCAACTACCCTCGGCTCTCTGTCATTGGTAGGGTATGCATAAAAAAGGGCAAACTGAAAAAAGAGGGGAAAAGAAAAAGGTATGCGAGACAAAACTGAAATCGTATCTGCGCAAAAAGTGTGCGCTGCTTTTAATTGAAAACGCAAATTGGTCATCAATTAATTTGACATATAGACGCAGCGGCCAAAAAGCTACGGCAACCGTTTGCAACTATGATGTCGCCACCAAGCCACCCAACCACCAAAACCAGCAAACCACCCAACCATCCAACTAGCAGGCAATCAATGGGCAGTTTGCCTCTAGTCTGAAAATTTCCTGCTGTTCATTGAATTCAGTTACTGTCCCGATTTAATAGAATCCGAATTGAAAGCCGTAGCACCGTCACTATATGTAGCTGCTGTCGGAAAACTTTTTAAGCCTCGCATTTGGTTAGCACTCGAAGAAGTCAATTTGGTGGCCATGGGAATAATCTGCATTAAATACCCTATAAAAACATTTGCATATGGAATTTCTCACACAGGATTTCTAAGGAAATCACAGAAATTTCAGGTAAGTCTCTATAGATCGGATACTACTTTTCAGTACTAAGAAGATCTATCGAGTTCACGGAAATGTTCTAGACTTATTCCTTGTTCTATAGTCTCGCTCGACTCCATATCTAAGATGTAATTCAGGCAGTCTTCTCCACTCATTGCCTTCTTAGGCCAATCAAGGCTCATACTCTAAGATTTGTTAAAGCTGAAGCTAGGCTTCACGGCCCCCCCACCCGTATATATAGTTTTGCATAGGCAAAGTCCTTCGAGTTGAGAGCTGACAGCAAGCGGAAAAAGAAGATTACGAATTTTTGTCATCAAGTGCCTTGGCCAGACACAAGCAATCGTGGCCAACTACTGCCACACCTTCAACTCCCCGCGCTGCGGGCCCATTGGCCACGCCCACTGCATGGCATAAATAAAAATTTTGTTTGGCAATATGCGCGTCGCGTATTTTGTTGCAAAAGTCTTGCATTAATCTAAATATTTGCATGCCTGCAATGGCTGCCAGGGGGAGGAGGGGAGGCAGATGAATGCGAGTGAGGCAGATGGTCAGGGGTGGCAGCAGCAGGCAGGAGGCAGCAGGCAGCAGGCAGCTGGCAGGAGGCGGGGAAAGTAATACGAGTGGGCTCTTGCGTTGGCTGTAGCCGCGTTTTGGGCTTTTGCCTATTTATTTATTTTCATCGTCGACGCCAAATTGTCAACGACTTTTAAGTGGGCAGCGGCAGCAGGGAGTCCGGAGGGGCGGTGGGGGGAGGAGTGAGCGGCAGCTGTGGCTGCTAGTGGGGGAGAAGGCCCGCATTGTAATGGGGTAAGCGTTGCTGCATTTTCACATTTCGCATTTCGTATGCGGGGGAAAAAGTCGCATTTAAAATGCATTTCGCTTGCGTCGGCAGGGGGCGGGGCATTTCCATTGCAAATGCAGCAGACGGAAAAGCCAAAGACAAACCCAAAGACAAAGACCGAAAGACCGGAGCCAAAATAATAATAATAATCATAATCATCATCATCATCATCATCATCTCGATTGCCATCGCCATCATCATCATCATCATCGCGATGAGCATGTGGAGCTGGGGGCAGTTGTTGCATGCAACAGCGCCGGAAATATATATGTATTGTATGTATATACATAGATATATTTATATATATATATACATATATATGTATATATAATGAATGCTTTATTTATTTGTATTTTCTGCCCATTTCGTTTTTCGACTATTTTTTTGTTTATTATTACTTTTATTGCCGTTGCCGCCGCTCCTGCTCCTGCTGCTCCTGTTTCTACTCCTGCTCCTGCTGCTACTGTTGCTGTTGCGTTTAAGTAATCAAAATCGTTTAAGCGAATTCGCAGCATTTGCATTTTGTGGCCAAGTTTTAGACATTTGCAATTGGCTCGCATATTTGCTGGCCCGCAAAACGTTTTGGAAATGGAACAAGAAAGTAAAGTTGCAAAATGTGTTCATTTTTATTGTTGATCACTTTAAGCAGAGCCTGGTAACGCTTTACTATCGATAGGGCAAAAATGCAGTTCGAGCAAGGCGAAAATTATGCGATGTGTACGGATAAAATGTAGCCAAAATTTGATTGCAAAATGTCGTTCCGGCAATTTCAATCTTGAGACTGCACCACGTCCTGGAAGGCCTCTTGAAGCCTTACTTAGTGAACGACCCAATAGTTTGCATAATTCAGTTTGTTATTCGAACAGAGATATATTATACTAATCCCTACAAATATTTTGATCAGCTTTCAAATTCGTTTCACTTTCATAGGGTTCCACAAATTATTCAATAGGAAAAGGGCTCCATAACTAGCTTCGTACCTATGCAAAAAAGAGAGTTGTCTTCATTTTGTGTTTCATATTCACTGTTCCTACTCCCATAATGAAGGCTTACAAATAATTAGCAGTACAATTAATAATAATAAAATTTCAGAGTATTCGGAAAACTCTCTCTTTCTTCTCTCTCTCTCAATCTCACCCTCTCCATTACTTTGCTTCCCTATCACTCTCTCTCTCTCTCTCTCTCTCTCTTGTTGTCTCTTTGCTAGCTCAGCCATAAAACGCTTGCTATAAACACACTTCCATTGGTTTGTGACCAGGCTACAAATTGCATGAGGCGTGGCCACGCCCCCCACTGGAAGTGCACATTGAAAGAGTTAGCTGTGCTCTCGCTGTCGCTCGCAGTGCATGCGATAACTGTTAATGGTTATCCATAAATTCTCATAACTCGCACCGAATAAATAATACAATAACAATAAATCATAATAGTTCTTTGATAATTATTAATGCAGCAATTTTTGATTTTTATGCGTGTGCCACAAAAGTGCACGCAAATTAATGAGTGCAAATGAAATGCACTCGATTTATACCGATAGGTGGTTGCTACATGATATATAGAGTAGGTGTATTGATTCGCTTTGTAACTGTATTTGAAAAGTTGAAGAAAGTCGCATTCATTGGGTTATCTAGATCACACTTGGATGATCCAATTGCTAGAGATTCCAATCTTGAGATAATGATGGACAAATTTGGCAATATGGAATATGTATGGGTATACTACTCTAAATCCCGTTGCTAATGAAAAGCAGAATTATATAATGAATAAAGAAAATATTTAATATTTAATTTCTGTTTCCATTTTTTCGCATGTCACAGAATTCCTGATGAGCCACTCAACCTTACCTATTCACTATGCTCTATGCTCTATTCTCTACCCATCCATGGCTCCTCCTCTCTTACCTGAGCAATACCTTGATATTAATATAAGCTTATGCCAACTATAATGAAATAGACAAAACTCCTCACATATTATTTATGTCTAATTGGGAATACCTTCATCCAGCTGCCGTCTCGATTCACGTTGAAGATGCTTTGCACTCGAGCTTTGGTGTTTTCCTGGTTGATTAGCAGCTGTAGAATTATTGACTAATTTACATATTTTGACTATTGGCACTTGGCTAGCAGCTCTCTCTCTCTCTCTCTCTCTCTGCACTCGCACTCTTACTCGTATGTGATCAATTTCATTTGCTGCCACTCGTATGCCCCAGATAATTAAATAGCAACAAGAACAACAACAACTACAGCTACAACAATTAGCTAAAACAAGAAACAACAATTTTGTGGCAAATATTAAAATAGTATCCGACAATAAAATGCGTTTGAAGGTTTCCACTTTGGCAGTGGATTGTTGTGGCTATGTGACCAGGCATGCTCGACTAGCAGATACCCCTTTTCATTATGAGAGACTTGAACGTCTTTATAGTAAATACTAAATATGCACATAGAGCAGTTCATATATGAGTATTATAAAAGTAGCTGAGCATAAAGCTCTAAGAATTCCCCATTGAACAAGGCTATAGAGGCTAATAAAATAATATTTAATATAGAAACTTATGTTGTGAATGCCTGAAGCACAGCCTAGGCTTGGGATACCCATTAGTGTCATTTCAACGTATGCAGGGTATTAAAAATGCATGAGTACCCGACTATTACAAGTTGAGTTAGTCAAATTGGCAGGATTACAAGCACACACACACGCAGCGCTCGAGATAACCAGCGAGAGGAGAAGAGAGAGAGAGAGAGAGAGAGAGAGAGAGGGAGAGGCAAAGCTACATAGATATGGAATGGCTGATGCCGATAAACTCGAATTGCACTTGAAACTTAATTACAAACTCGCAAATGCGAAATGCAAATGCAAATACCTGACAAAGCCGAAGCCCAAACTGAAGCTGAAGCTGGATCTGGAGCTGGAGCAGGAGCTGAAACTGCAGTCGGGACAGGAGCAGCCAAAGCGAGGGCTGCAACTAAAATGTCTGAATGCCTGTTTAAGAGTGAGCACCCTCTGTGTGTGTGTGTGTGTGTGTGTGTGAGTGTGCGGCACATGGCGTATGAGTAATATGCATGAATGCCAACTGCATGTGTCTATATTGTCCGTAATGGTCTATAACTCGGGCACTTCTTGTCGTCATCTTGTTAAGTAAATTCTAAACATAGTTGCTAGCAGCCACACACACACACACACACACACACACACACACACACACACACACACACACATACAGCAAATATACTATGTGTGTGTGTGTCCATTCACTTATGTAATTAAGTGTCTTGTTAAAACGGAAATGGAATTTGGTTTTCCCTTTAATTTACATTAATTGACGATGCATTTATGCCAGCGAGCACTTTGGGAACCTAAAATCCCATATCTCCCTCTCCCTCTATCTCTCTCTCTCTCTAACTCTCACTCTGCTGTCTGCTTGGCTACTTGTTGGTATTTATTGTTTAATATTAATGTCGGTGTGCTGGACACAAGCGTTGCCTTTGAAAAATGCATGACACGAGCACACGAGAGCTTTGGCTAACTTGGCTTTAATCGTTCGGCATTAGGCCACATGCAATATGTATATGCAGGCAGCGAGAGCTACCTGGCCAGGGGGCGGGAGGGTGCTGCTAGACAGACAGACATAACATATACAAATACATGTACATATACATGTATAAATAAATATATATAGAGTGGGACAGAGAGAGAGAGAGGGCGGGGGGGATCAGTGTAACCGGGTTATGCACTGACCCCGATTGCCTGCTGCTGCTGCTGCTGCTGCTGCCGAAATGCCAATGGCCAGCGGGCATTATTAATGGCACTCGGAGTGCACTTAGTTGTGGCAACAACTTTGATTTATTCATTGGACACCATCCCCACCTCACACAGCTTCTCCTCCTCCTCCTCCTCCACTTCCTCCTCCTGCTGTCCTATTCATGCGGCATTCAACATTCAACTATTACAATTATTATTGATACGCGCAGAGTGAGTGAGAGAGAGAGAGAGAGAGAGAGAGAGAGAGACGAGCTGTGTATTAATTGTCTGCTTGTAGGCGAGACCTTGTTTGCTTTCACAGTTCCCATTTCATTAGTTGATGATCCCCTCTCGCTCCACATGGCAAATTAATTCATGCCCAAATTATAGACTCTACTGCAAGTGCTTAAGCAGACGCTCTGCTACTTGTCCCAGTCAAATTGAATGTGTCGAAAGAAAATATTTAAGCTCTGCAATGAATGAAAGAATGAGAAGATGAAGAATAGCGGAGTTAGCTACAGCTAGTACAGGTACCCAAAAGTCTTACAGCAATCCAGTGAATAAATGCAATCCAGAGAACAGAGTTGAGATAACAGGCAAAGAGAAAGAGGTGTCTCTTATGGGGTACTACAAGACCGGGTCCTGGACTCAGCTCCAGACTAAGAAGTAAATAAAGCCAATCGAGTTTCCATTTGATTCTCGTCTCGTTTTATAAGTTCACCAGATGCATGCTGATCAATTCTGTAAAAAGAGAATAGCATTGAGATTATAAAGAGTCAGAGAAAAAGAGAAATGAGATGCTCCACAACAGAGCTCTCCAGCAATCCAGTGAATAAATCGAATCCAGTTTCCATTTGATTCTCAGTTTATGAAGGGCAACCTCAGTTCCAGCTCAAGCAGCCTGTTTATTACTTCAATGGACAGCAAGCTCAGCACAACGAGAATCGAGAATAGAGAGAATCAGTGAAAGAAACAGTTGAAGGGAAAAGCGAGTCTCGTTTAGTTCACAGCTGGCAAAGCTCAATAGAAATATCGAAAATCAGAGCAAAGGCCAGGCGGTGAGTGTTGCCACATTGTTGAATTGCAACAGTATGGCCAAGTTGGGTGTGCGTGTGCGTTGTGCAACACTGGACACGTACTAAGTAGCTCGCATTATGAACACGCTTTTGAGTCATAAAAATGCGTTGCCTGCGGGTCACGAGCGCGGGGGCATGGGGCAGCTGGGGCGTGGCGGTGGCTGGGTAACAGGTAACGGTAATTGAAACAAAAGTTGAAGCCAAGGAACTGTAGCATACGTTGCGGCGCCTTAAAAACCCATTACCAACTGTTGACACGTGCCGCGCCGTGCCGCGACCTGTAACCCCAAGCGCTCCCCGCCCAGAACCCCCCTCACTTACACACACACACACACACATCGCCCGTCGCACACATAGTCCCAGCTCAGCCCGTCTCTCTCTCTCCCGCTCGCTAGGAAAATCACGCGGCCGCATGCGAAGTAAACAAACGTGAAATGAAAGTCATGCGTCGCATTTTAAAACACGCCGCTGGATGTCTCCCAGGACGTGGTCCCTGTGGGCAACAGCAAGCTGCCGAGCCGCGCCCACCTCCCCGCACGCCCACCTCCACCTGGCCCCGCCAAGAGATGCGCATAATTTAAAATACAAATTTGCCACCCGCCGCTCGGAGCCGCCGAGAGATAGAGCTCAGTTCGGGGCGTTGCCAGCGCAATGCATTTGTAAATATGCCTCATTATTGTGCAAGCCACACACACACACACACAGACACACTCACAGCCCACCTGGTCGCCCAGCCTCTCGCTCGCCTTGCCTTTGCCTCATCATTTGTCACGTCGCATGTTTCGGGGTCTCGTGCAGCGCGAACGGAAATGGCAACAAAGTACAAAACAATTTAATAAATGCCGGAATCACGTGAAGGTGTTAAGCAAAACATTTGCGGCAATGACCACACTGAAACCGACACGAATCTCCATCAAATTGAAACACACACACGCACACACACACACACACACACACACGTGCACGCTCATGTTTTTGCCCAAAAATGACAGCGACTAGTCAAAAGGGAACGCAACTGTACCCAAGACATGCAGGCGAACCTCATTAGCTGCGCCGCGTGGAATTTGCAAACAAGATTTCATTTCATTTTCATGACGTGCCGGGAAATGCAGAGTCCCGTTCAATTGAAAATTCCCTTCCAACTTGACTGATCTGCTCCGCTCTGCTCTGCTCTCTCACAGACTATCAACGGGCTCTACTGGAAAGTCGAGGCGGTTCTCTTCCACTTATTCCAGTCTGCACTACTCGAGAGCCGAGGGGCTGCTTCTTGCCGCTCGATTGCAAATTCCCTTCCAGCCTGTCTTCCCTATTCTGAGGACACACACTTGCAAAGAGCTCTACTCTTCTACACACTATCAAAGTCGAGACAGTTCTTCTTCCAGTTATTCCAGCCTGTCTGCTCTACTCGCACACACATACATAATATCAGACAGCTCTTCGTTTCCGAACTTAATTGGAAATATAATTTTAGGCTGCACTACTCTACTTACACACACTTGCTAACAGGTCAACTCTACCTTGTCACACACACACACTGTCAAAGAGCACCACTCGAGAGTCGCCAAGTCATTCCAGCCTGTCTGCTCTGCTCTGAGCAGCTTCTTCTTGCCGTTCGACTGCAAATTCCATTCCAGCCTGTCTCTCGCACACACTATCAAACAGCTCTACTTTGTCACACGCACACACACACACACACACTATCAAACAGCTCAACTTTGTCACACACACACTTTCAAAAAGCTCTGCTCAAAAGAGCATGTTGGCCCGCTCAATTGTAAATTTCTTTCCAGCCAGATCTACTCTCTCTCTCTCACACACACTTCCTCTCTCTCTCTATCACTCTCAAGAAATCAAATTCAGTTGGCTCTTATAACTTTATTAATTCCAGTGAAATAGCTGCGCTTGCTCAGCTCGAACAATAAGTTAGGCCAATCATTCCTGCTGCAGATCCAAGATCCTAGATATCACGGCTAGTGCCGGAGGTACCCAGCAGTACCAGCTCATATTCGGCTATAGCCGCCTCCATCTCATCGATGTCCTCGTCAGTGACCGAAGCCGACGGCTCTGGTGGCGGCAGTGCCGGCTGTGGTGGTGGTGGTGGCGGTGGTGCCGGCTGCTGCTGCGGCGGTGGCGGTGGTGGCGGCGGCAGTGGCAGCGGCAACGATGCGCTGCGAGGGTCATCTTCAGTCTCTGCGCACCACGGATGTACGGCGTACTCCGCCAGATACGGACAATTCTCGGGCCCGTCCTCGTAGCAGATGTCGCACATGCGATAGGGGTTCTCGCAGAGTTCGTCCGAAATGGGCAAGCAACGCAACTTAATTGCCAGAAATATGGTATATATTAGAGAAAACCCCTTCTTCTCCACACTAAACTTACCATATTGTCCAATAGGGAATCCATCATGAAAGTCAAGTCGAGAAAACAAATTTTTTCCTTACTTTCCTGCAAACTCACAGTTTGTAAGACGAATGTCAAGCACAAACTGAAACTGAAAATTCTGGAAAGCGTCTTTAGTGCTATCGGTTATCGAAATAGCAGCAGTGTAGTGTAGATCAATGCTTCTAACTGCCATAGGCCAGGGCTACCAACTGAACAGGCCAGAAAAAAGCTAACTCCCGAAAGAAAAGCTAATTTGATGTGAACTGTGATTTTTTATTGCTCTCTATTGATCTATTGATCTCTAGGGAGTCCCAATACGTTCCCAATCATTTCGCTCACTTGAGCACTCTAGCTACCTCTCATATGGCCTCCCCAATAGCAAAGCTTTGCCTTGCCATATTAGGATATGTATTTGCGATAGTGTAAAGCGATAGTGTAAAGCTTAGGATTGACAATCATGAATTAATGCGATTTGGATTGGATTTGGAAAAATACTATACCTCCAATTCAATTTATATTATAAATAATTATATTATAATTAAAAATCATTTTAGGAATGGGAATATCACTCTCTCTGCCATCGTTATGTATATGTTCGATCTTACTATCTGAGCCAATAAGAAAGTGAAGAAGAAGGAGAAGACGAAGAAGAAGAAGCGCAGCAAGTTGCTTTCGTATCGAATGAAAACAATAAAATAAAAATAAAAATAATAATAATAATATTATATAATAATATAATAATATAAACCAATATCATATTATAATAGTATACAAAAAATAAATAAAATAATATATATTAAAATATACAAATATTATATTATAATATTATATAGCTATTCCCGCCAGCCGCTTTCGCAACAGAAGTGACGGAAAATAGCCAAATCGACAGCACTGCTTTCGGTGTTGAGAAATTTTAACAAGTTAAACAATAAATAAAATAAACAAATGAATGAATTTCACAATTTTAGTTAAGATTTGAGAGTTAAAGTTTGTGAAGCTCATATAAAATTAGCTGATATCAAGCTAAGGTGGCAGCTTTCATAGGTCTGTCTTAGACTTGACTCAAAATGAGGTAATATCTATTTGTCTCTATATCAAAGCAGATGCTCTACCGCAAACTTAACTTATCGCAGATCCCATTTCGTCCGATTTGACTGAGGGAATTGAAAGCCTGCATCTCCGACCCCACGATGACATCGATGGACATTGTAAATCTCAGATGAATAGATGCATGGATTCTGCTCGATGTTCGTCTCGCCTAGCCGGCAGCTGCAACGTTTGTCACTTCACTTATTCCTTAGAGTACTGGAAGGTGATTTTGGATAGTGTCTGGAGTAATCTTATTGTGTACGTTTCTTATAGGGGTTCCTTTCTTAAGCGGTAGAGCTGTTGGGTGGATCGATGATATCTGCCTCCAGCAGACGACAGCGACTGAGCTTTCCTTTGATTGATCACAATAAGAGGAGCAAACAGTGAATGGACTCAAGGAGCGAGTGCAACGTGTTGCAGTTGCAGTGAGTAGATGCGCTGAGTGAGTGTATCGAATGGCTGTTGGAATATTTAATGATTGAATGGAATGCAATGGTTCTCTGCCGTGCCGTTCCGCTCTTTGCATTTTTTAGTGGAATTACAAATGGATGTACGCGGCACTGAGCGAATGTGCATAGGCCAATCCGATGCGGAATCATCACCTGGCAGCAGCAGCACTTGATGAGGCGAGACTATATGTTGGTTATAATGAAGAAGTCATTGATAAGGGAGGGATACTACTCTCATTATATAGAGAAGAGACCACAGACAGACGTGTCCCACTCCAAACTAGATTGCAGTTCATTTACTGGCATGCAGCATACCCAGTCTCTGCATGTGTCCAGGGTATACGAATAAAACAATGGCAGCTTCCAATGTCCTGCTGCCTGTATCCCGACCTGGGCTGGGGATTGGCCAGCGAGGAGCTGGGAACGGAAAATGGGCGTGAAAGCGGCGCAAGATCAAGAGCAATTGCCGGAGTCAGCTTTACGGTTCCTGTTTGTGTTGTTGCTGCTGTTGTTGAGCTCAACGCCGCATTTAATACGCCAACTCGTTGCACTTCATTCATTATTAACAGCAACAGCAACAGCTGCAACTGCGCTGCCAGCGTCAATGCGAAATATTGACATATTGACGGATATTTAAGCGAATGACTGAATGTGTGAGGCGAACTTAGATTGGCGGAGATATTTTATAGATGGATTTACTAATTGAAAGTTGAAATAGAATACAATGAGAGAAAGAGTGACCAGGATATATATGTACCTATGAGAAAAAGAGGAATCGAGCGGAAGCAGAGAATGAGGGATAGTTAGAGAGAGGGGGAGAATGAAAGAAGTGGGAAGTGAAAGAGTGACGGAAAGACAAAACTGTACCTATATATATATATGTATAGAGAGAGAGAGAGAGAGAGGGGATAAGTCTGATATCAGAAAAAGATGGATGGTCTCCTTCTCTATCCATCTTTTTCTGATCTCTCTCTCTCTCTCTCTCTCTCTCTCTCTCTCTATACATAT